AAATACAGAACCCTAAGACTGGGGAAATTACTGGGAGGAGGTGGAGGAGTTAATGTCTGAAATGATGGAGTGGCATGGTAGTTTGGACATTTGGGACATCTTTGACCTCTGCCTCATGGGGACCGGCCTCGTGCTGATCTTTCTAAGAGAAATTGTTCAAGCACAAGGCAAAAAGCCACATTATATAACTCATTTCACCACAGCACTTATGTCTGTGCCAGGAGGGCTCCTTTCTGTGTGAATTAAGGATGACTATAATTGGGCAATCTACTTCTGTAGTGATACCACCTCAGAAACCCAAGGGGAGGGGTTTGTGAGTTGGGTCTGACTCGATGGCACACAGCAACAACAACAACAATAATATAACCCTGTGGGCCCACTGTTTGAATCTGAAAAACTCTTAACAGTTTACACCTCAGGGATACTTAAGTGAATGCTGTTTGAGGGCGTCGCACATCTAGTTACGATTTAGTGTCTTAGCAGAAAATCCAATACTTTATCAGAAGTAAAGAGAGCATTTTATTGAGGAGCAGACAGATTGAACTGGCAGCACAGTGAAAGTACAAAGTGCTCTGCTGAGTTAGGGAGCAGTTTAAATAGAGAAATACCAGGTACTAATGGGCAATTTTGTGTGGTTGACTGACATTGGGAAGCCTTTGTGTAATTGGTCCTAAGACTATCATAAAACCCCAGAAGTTTCAGTAGAAAAACCATGAACTAATTGAAGTAACTTGTTTTCTGTACCCTCAGTTAATCGTTAGCTACTTTGGAGTCAGCCTGTGTATAAGCCATGCAGTTTTGTAAGCATTTTCTGAGAACTTGTTAAACAAAAAGTGTTCTTGTCATAAGCTTCCTGCAACATTGAGACTGTGAGCTTTACCATGTGTCAGCTGAGAACAGCTTCTCCCTCTCCTTGGTTTCCTATGAGCAGCTCAGATTTTTCTTTTCTTTTCACTTTACTTTGTCCTTTTTTAAAAAATGCATTTTTTTGAAATATAATTTATGTACAGTGAAATACACAAAAGTAAAGTGACATGGGTCAATGCATTTTTTTTTTTTTTTTTTGCAGTGTTCCCTCCCCTCTTCTTCCACTCCTGGCAACCAACAAAGAAAGTTTCCCTCCATATGGAAACCTTTCCTTGACTCTCCACAACAACTAATACTGTATTTGTCCTTCTGTGATTGACTTATGTCACTCAGCATAATGTCTTCCAAGTTCATCCATATTATGTGGTGTTTTGCAGACTCTACATTATTCCTTAGTGCTGCACAGCATTCCATTATGTGTATGTCCATAGTTTGGTCATTCACTCTCCCACTGATGGGCACGTAGGTTGTTTCCATCTTTCTGCTATTGTAGACAGTGCTGTGATGAACATGAGTGTGCATATATCTGTTCCTGTCCTGGTTCTCACCTCTCTAGGATATATACTTAGTAATGGGATTGCTGGGTGCAAAAAAGGCAGGAAGGCCACATATTCTGACCTCCTAGAACCCCACAAGAGGAAGACAGAATCACCATCAATAGCCCAAGGCCTATTCCTGTGAGGCCAGACATGCTGCCTCCCTCCAGCCTTTTCTCCAACTGTTCCTCCCAAAGCACCCACCACCTCTCTCCTGGGTTCGATAATTTGCTGCAGTGGCCACACAGAACTCACAGATTACGGGATTTACTAGGGAAGCACCAGGCTACAATTCAAGTTCAGGAAAAACACTCAGTCTCTCTTCCAGCCCACCGTCCCTCAGCCAACAGTCTCTCTCAATCTCTCTCCCAGCAGTGCGTGTTCCTCGGTGTCTCACTCACCAATGCGTGTCTCTTACGTCTCTTTCCCAGCAGTGTGTGTCTCTTTCAGCAGCACGTCTTCCTCAATCAGCAGTCAGAGAGAGAGTTCTGCCTCTAGGAGGCCTCCTTTTGAGCTTGGCAGAGTGGCCAAACCAACCAATCATGACAACAGAATTCTAAGCACCTGAAGAGTGAGCCTCCCGTAACATTGCATTGTGCCACGCCCAACAGAAATAACCCAGGTGGACAACATTTACAATCAGGAGCTCCTCAATTGCTCATTCCACCACTGAGTTTACAGTGACTTATGGATAGAAAAGCCATACTAAGTAATTTACTACACTGCACTGGGTCAAATGGTATCTCCAATTCCAGCTTTCTAAGGAATCACCATATTGCTTTCCACAGTGGTTGTATCACTTCACAGTCCCACCAGCAGTGTATGACAGTCCCAATCTCTCCACATCCCCACCAGCATTTGTTATTTTCTGTTTCATTGAACCTTGCCATCAGTGCTGGGGTGATACAGTATCTCACTGCTGTTTTGATTTGCATCTCTCTGATGTCCACTGATTGTGAGCATCTCTTCATGTATTAGCTGGCCACCTGAATTTCCTCCTTGGTGAAGTGTCTATTCCTGTCTTCTGCCCATTTTTCAATTGGATTGTTAATTCCTTTGGTGTGGAGGCATTATAGTTTCTATAAATCTTAAGAGATAAAAGTCACTTGCCAGATATGTAATTATCGGCAAATATGAATTTGTTGCTGTCATTTTTCTTATGTGCTTTTTGGTGGTGTCGATTTCTTTGTTCCATATAATTTTCTATGCTGAACTTGTTTTGTTTATGAATCGTGTTATCACTTCCTTCATTGCTGCTGTTGTAGTATTTACTAAATATTTGTGCTGGTTCTCTTTTTTATTTTGATGTGAAAGTTTATCATTTTTCTTTGAGGTTACCCTGTGATTTATAGTTTTCTTCCCAAGTTTAGAACAGTCCGTTCTATCTTGTAGTTGTCTTGACTTCCCTGCCATCTAGAAGTTCTGTTACGACAGTTTTTTTTTCCCTCTTTTTGGTTTGTAGTTGTCCTCATTTGCTGTCTCTGGTTCCAGATTAACTCTTTAGTGAGAGACCACTCTCAACACCTACAGTCAAGGCCTGGTAACAGTCATTACCTTTCCTTAATAAGATACGTCAACCTCCCGTCATACTTATTAGTAGATTGGTCTTTGCCTTCAATATATCTGGAATGTTTTGTTTTGTAGTTTCTTTCATACCAATGTGTCTCTCAGATTATACATTTTCAAAACACAGTTTGTATTACATACATTTTGTGGCCAAAGAACTGGAGAATTAAAAGGCACTCCACAGCCCTCCGCTAAAAGAACTGAAAGGTTGGTGCCTCGAACCCATCAGCTGCTCAGTGAGACAAAGATGTGGTGATCTGCTTCCATTAAGTTCACAGCTTTGGAAACCCTATGGGGTATAATGGTTTTGTAACAAGTATTTAGAAGGAGTTGATGAGCGGTACAGACAGTTAAGTGCCTGACTACTGGTTGAAAGATTGGTGGTTCAAACAACCAAAGGCACCTTGGAAGACAGGCCTGGTGATATGCTTCTGAAAGGTTACTGCCTTGAAAACCCTGTGTAGTGCGGTTCTACTTTGCAACACACAGGGTTGCCATGAGTCAGAATCAACTCAATGGTAGCTAATACCAACAACATTTAGAATAGTATTTTGTTAATCTAGTGTTTTATTAGATTCATCGTATCTTTCCCTGTGCAATTTTTATTTTACATTTTTGAATTGCTTATTATCATTCATTTATCTACTTTCATAGTGATACCTCCTCGGAAACCCAGGGAGGGGTCGCTATGAGTCAGGGCTGACTAGACGGCACATGTCAACAACAACAACAACAACATTCTTTAGGCTAATGTATTGAGGATTATCTACCATTATAGTATTTGTGTACAGTAATTATGCATCAACATGCATTAGTAGAATATTTGTTTGATTCCAAAGATGAGATGGCTGCATATCTATTTTGTACTTTTTGGTGGCAGTGGAAAAAAAAATACTGCTTCAGGGCTCCTGTGAGTTTATATAATGTGAGAGGGTTGTTCATAGCATGTTTGAAACCCGGCTTCCCTGAAAATAATTTGAATTACATGTTATCACCCTTTCTTTTTGAAGATTCCTATCCCCGTTGTGTTCCTAATTATCTGAAGCCTATAGTAGAGATGATTTATAACATCATTCATTATAAATACGACTTTTGGTGTAATATCACATATTTTGATATAAATTATTCATCTTCCACCACTAGTTAACAGGAGCCTATGGTTCTTCGTATCTTTCAGATAGCTCTGCTGTATGTGTGACCAAGCATTTATCATCAATAGAAGACCTTAATAAAGGAGAATTATTCCGAACCATGACGTTGGAAGGACATGAAAGCCATGGCACCGAGGATTTTGACTCCAGGGAAAATATACATGAGTTTGAAAGTCTTTGGGGATGTGATGAAAAAAATTACAAAGGAATGAGTACAACCCAGAACCAAAATCTCCCTAGTGGAGAAGACCAACAGCATGACACATTCTGGAATAACCATCCCCTAAAACAGAGTGTTTTTGTAAGAAGATACCTGTGTCAGTATCTCAAACATGAGAAGCCATTTATAAGGAAGTTAATAAAACTGAAAAATCACATAGATTATGGGGAAAACAAGGATAGGAAATGTTTGGAAAATAGGATTGGATTAAGCTTTTGGTCCCATGTGGATGAAGGACAGAGATTTCAAACTGAAGAGATAATGTATCCATGCAATCAAGTTGAGAAATCTGTCAACAGTGGTTCCTCAGTGTCACCACTTCAAAGAATTACTCCTAATGTCAAAATCATCATTAGTAGTAAACATGGGACCATTTTTAGGTATCCTTCGTCACCTACACAATACCAGAGAACACACCTTAGAGAAAAACCTTACAAATGTAATGACTGTGGGAAAGCTTTCAGCAAAACCTCAAATCTCACTAATCATCAGAGAATTCATTCTGGACAGAGACCTTACAAGTGTACTGAGTGTGGCAAAGCCTTTAACCAGTGCTCAAATCTCACTAGACATCAGAGAGTTCATACCGGAGAGAAACCATATAAATGTAATATATGTGGCAAGGTCTGTAGTCAGAATTCAAACCTCGCAAGCCATCAGCGAGTGCATACTGGAGAGAAACCTTTCAAATGTAATGCATGTGGTAAGGCTTTCATCAAACGTTCTCACCTTTGGGGCCATGAGAGAATTCATACTGGAGAGAAACCTTTCAAATGTAACGAGTGTGGCAAGGCCTTTACCGAGCGTTCAAGCCTTACTCAACACAGGAGAATCCATACTGGAGAGAAACCTTACAAATGTAATGAATGTGGCAAAGCTTTTAAACAATGCTCACACCTCACTAGACATCAGAATGTACATCCTGGAGAGAAACCACACAAATGTAATGCATGTGACAAGGCATTTATACAGAGTTCAAGTCTTGTGGAACATCAAAGAATTCATACTGGAGAAAAACCCTACAAATGTGCTGAATGTGGTAAAGCTTTTATCAAACGTTCTCACCTTTGGGGCCATGAGAGAATTCATACTGGAGAGAAACCTTTCAAATGTAGTGAGTGTGGCAAGGCCTTCACAGAGCGTTCAAACCTTACCCAACATAAGAAAATCCATACTGGAGAGAAACCCTACAAATGTAATGAATGTGGCAAAGCTTTTACCCAATTTGCAAACCTTACAAGACATCAGAAAATACACACTGAAAAAAAGTATTGTAAACCTAATATGTGTGGCAGTGCATTTATCCAAAGTTTAAGCTTTGGAGTTCATCAGAGAGTCCATACTGGAGAGAAACATAAACGTAACGAATGTCACAAAACAATTAACGTGTGTTCAGGCCTCACTCGGTATCAAAAAAGCCACAGTGGAGAGAAAGCATACAAAACTAATGTTTGTGGCAAAGCCTTTAAGCAGGGCTCACACTTCACTAGATATCAGAGTATACATTTCTGAGAGAAAGCACATAAAGATCATGTTTTGTTGAGGCTTTTATCCAAACGTCACACCCTGTGGTGCATCACGGAGTTCACACTCAAGGGAAACTTAAATGTAATGAGTGTGGTAAAACTGGTTCAGATACCCACCTTGGTGGTCATGACAGAAGTCATACAAGAGAGAAACCATATAATTGTATTAAATGGGGCACAGCCTTTAAGCAATGCACTGACCTCAAGACTTACAAAGAATTCATACTGGAGAGAAACTTCACAATTGCCACAAATGTGGTAAATTGTCTAGCCAGTTTTTACAATGGACGATACAATGGAGTATTTATACTTGGGGGAATAGACATTTTTATCCTTTTCTGAAGGTTAAGCAACCTCATGCTAAATTCTACAGATTATTAAAATCAACTAATCTAATACTCATGTATGATTTGAGCCAAAGACACCCATAGAAAGGTCCAGTTATCTTCACTTCATAAAATGTTTTCTGTTATCTGAGGTTTCTTGAAAAGGCTCCCTTAATACTGATGAGTTTCAACTTGGAATTTGAAATCTATGAATATAACACTTTTTTCACAAGCTTTTTAGGTGTCACTGTGTGGTATCAGGGAGCTCTGGTAGCACAGTGGCTAAGACACTTGCCTGCTAACCAGACAGCTGGCGGTTCAAACCCACCAGCCACTCCTCGGAAGGAAGGTTGGGCAATCCTACTTTCGTAGTGATACTGCCTCGGAAACCCAAGGAGGGGTCGCTATGAGTCAGCTTTGACTCAGCACATAACAACAACAACAACAACATGTGGTATTGGGGAAGGGATTGGTAAGATTAAAGGGCTACTTCATTAGGTGGGGTTCATTTATATACATGTAAGCTGGAAAAAAAAGGAGCCCTGGTAATGCAGTGGTTAAAGCACTTGACTGCTAACCAAATGGTCAGCAGTTCAAACCTACCAACTGCTCTGTGGGAGAAACATGGCAGTCTGTTTCTGTAAAGATTATAGTCTTGGAAACTATAGGGCAGTTCCATTGTGTTCTGTAGCGTCTCTGTGAGTTCAAATCAATTCTACAGCAGTGGGTTTGGGTTTGGGTTTTTGGTTTGGAATGTGTTAAAAAACAAGGATACTGAATTTTAAGATACAATATGGTGTAACTTTGCAAGCATGAGATTGATTGAGAACAGACACAAAACTGGACTTATGATTTCTACAGTCAGGGGACCCTTCAGATTTGCTGGTGTGATAAGAGGGCCACTGATGATTATTTGGAAGGACTGCTGTGGTAGTTAAGGTTGTGTGTCAACTTAGCTGGGCCTGGGAGCTGGATGTAGTTATTCCCCATGATGAGACTGGTAATCATCTCCATGGTGGAATCTACTGGAGCAGCTAAGTAGTGCTTTAGGGATGTGGCCTGCTTCCAGTATATGAGAAGCACCGCTGAGAAAGGTCTAGCCAGCTTTCTGACATGCTTGGACCCCACGTGTAGCCAGGTCTTCATTTAGCAGCCTGCCATGTTTCCTCCCACTCTTGGGACTGTCCCTTGACTTGAACTAGTGACTTTCTTTGTTTGGTAATATTGGAACTGTGCCATTTTATTTGTCAGTCTTGGGCTTGTTAGCCTCAGCAGCCAGCAGCTCCTAAGTGAAGAGACACCTCTAGCTCCAATGGGCTGGGCACAGAGGCAGAGCTGACACCCAAGGCTGAGGGGTTTTCACCGAGCCCCTAAAGCCTGGGCACTTTGAACTTAGACTTCTAGCCTCTGCAACTGTAAGAGATTAAAGTCCTGTTTGTTAAAGCCATCACTTGTGGGATTTCTCTTAAGAGTGGCATTAAGTAACCCAAACAACTGCTCTATCAGTGACCGTGAAACATGAAGAGCAGGCCAGGACGTTATGGTAACAGACGTTATGGTAGCAGAATCAGGTTACCCCAGGCTGCACAGGTCACAGAAACAATCAAGGGGAGATGATGGTCCACTTCTCCTTCCATAAGAAACAGCTATTGTATATCACAGATTAGTGACAATTATGCTCATTTTGTAAACTAGAGACTGCAGTCTTCACAGAGGACAGTTCAATGGTTAATTAGCCCATATGTGTGTAGGATTCACATGTAACCACTGAAAATGCATTTGGGTACCATTTAGAATACTGTTCTCTTGTCTTAATAAAATGTGATCAGCTTTTCATAAACCAGCATGAGTCACGTGCCTTCTGCAAGCCAAGCATATCCCTCTCACTGGGGAACTTCCTCACAAGCACTGAGGATACATCGTTAGGCTCTCAGGGTTGAAAGGAAGGCATCTATAAGCACTACTTCCCTTTGGTGAGATCAAACGGCATACAAATTTTGGGAACTTGACTTACTCTCTCTACACTTTGCCCCTAGGTGTTATGTACAGTTATGATGAAGAAACCAAGAGCGTGCCAATTCAGATTCTGCCCCACTAACACCTGCATTACTATTATTATTACCGGGGTAAAATACACATAAAGAAGCATTTTTCAGTCCTTTGGAAACTAGGGCTCCCGGGTCTCCTCGAGGTGATGACTGCGCCGAGGATGAGGGAGGAGCAGGGCCTGTCTAGAAAGGCCTCAAGGATCAGAAGGCTACGAATCCCAGAGCCGGGGAGAAGACGAGCTGTCACCAGCTGCGCGAACAGCTGCTCTCGGGGGCGAGGCCTGGGCAGCACGAAGGCCGTGTCCATCTCACAAGCGGGGCGTTCACACGACACAGGTCAGGGGAGGGGGGTCACGCAAGGTTTGAAGCAGGTGAACAACGCAAGCGGCGTCTACCTGTCGATGAAGGGACCGGCCTCGGCGCAGTTTTAAACCAAAACGGATGCGGATACCAGGCCAGCAGTGGAGCGACCAGGGCTCGGAAAGGCTAACGCCTACTCAACGCGGGCAAGACGCGCGCGTGGGGAAAATTCAACACCCAGCACAACCGTCGAAGCCCGGATGCGGAGGACGACACACGGAAGGAAGCGATACGCAGGCTTCAAGGAAACGGAAGTTAGTTATTGCGACTACAACCCGCCCTTCGACGATGCCCTTCCGGGTCTGCAAGAAACTGCGCGTGCGCAGCGGGAAGAGGCAGGCACTACAGGTGTCAGCCTCAGCAGGTGAAATCATGGCAGGGCCATGACATGGAAATTAATTAGAGAAGGGGACGCATTGGGTTGGGCCTAAGAGGCGTGGCCAGAACTGGGGGCGGGGCCTGGGCTTCCTTTAACGCCCTGCCACTGGGCGTTTCTGGTTCTGTCAGCTTTGGAGTCTCCCTGTGAAGCCAGAGAATCTCTTTGGTGTCTCCAGACCAGAGTTGATTTTTACCTATTTTAAATTAAACGTTTCAAACAATTTAAGACGCAAAAACAAAAACAAACCCTGAAGCGTTGTGCCGGTCACTCATATTGGAAGCTGGAATGCTTGTTACGAACAAGTTGGAAATGGCTTGTGTCCAAAGGATTTTTGCTTGCCGGAAGAGGCGAATCCTCCGAAATTGGCTGGCGGGTGTGACATCGATAGCGGACAGCTGTGTGGGGTAGTGGTTGCCTCCAGGAACGTCTGAGGCTCCAGCGATTAGAATGGCTTGTTTAACTAAACAAAGGCTAGATTTCTCTAATTAGGTGATGGAAACTAGAATAGGAATGTAAAACTCGGTGACGAATGTGCAATCTCATATTGGCTCCCTCAGAACATAATTTAAAATTTCCCCATTCATCCAAGAAGGAGTTGGTGTTTGAGTTGTGGTGCTGGTGAAGAATATTGGAAATACCATAGACTGCCAGAAGAACAAACATACCTGTCCTGCAAAAAGTATAGCCAGAATGCTTCTCAGAAGCAAGAATGGCCACACTTGATCTCTTGTACTTTGGCCGTGTTATCAGAAGCAACCAGTGCCTGGAGAAGGATAACATGTTTGGTGAATAGAGGGGCAGCAAAAAAGGGGAAGGCCCTCAACGAGATGGGGTGACATAGTGGAAGGTGTGTGATCAGGCACTGTTTGGTTCTGTTGTTCATGGGCTCCCTGCGTCAAAACTAAAAACAACAACAACATTCCCCCAAGAGGGAGAGACTCAACCAGACTCAGTGGCAGGGACTTCATGGGGCCAGGACCTGAAGTTGGAGGGTCAAGACATTGCTTTAAAAGAACAATACTTTCTGCTTGTATAGATAGAAATGCCCTTCTCCTTTACATTTTATTTGTTCTATTTTACATTTCTTGAGATGAATTATATATTCACATGCTTTTCAGACAAACTTGGATGTTATCCCAAGATTTGCTTATGTCATTAATTTCTAAATACATTGTAATTTCATTTTTTTAAAATCTTTTATTCCCAGAGTTGTTTGGGAGAGTATATTTAACTTGAAAATTGTGAAAAATGTTAATCTGTGGTTTTGCTTTTTGACTGTTTGGTGTCAAGTGTGGATAATGAGGCTTGTAAAATGTGCACTCTTTGGGAGATACATGGATTTACTTTTGACTAATGAAAAATTAATTTTGCAATATTTCCTGGGACATTTGATAGGAATGCCAATTCTTTTATATGAACATTAAAAAGTGGTAAAACTGAATTTGCAAATTTTCAGGAGCCTCATTTACAGTCATAATAACTTTCAATATGAAAATGTGAATTAGTGTTTCCTTTTCTATTGCTTGTGTAAATTCTGAAGTTCAAGCTGGCTGGATTTGGGCAAGACTAGATCTCAAATGTATATGCTGAGAAAATTTCTCAGAGTATTATTTACAATAGAAAATATCCTGTTGTTTTCTAGAGCTGATATGTTTCTCTGATTTTAACGCTTTCTTTGAAATATTTGGACTCATGGATTTAAATGTTAGAAGATAAATTTATTTTGGACCACGGAATAGAAACAACCCTGAGGTTCACTTCTAGGAGTGAGTTCTCTTCTGAGTTCTCACTCTCTCTCATATCTGTTAGAAAGTTGGATACAATTTAAGCAGCTAGGACTGTAAGCCATTTTGGGGAAAGAGGTCCTGGTATCTGAATTCCAATTTTGTTTTTCTTCAGCCCCCTATCTCCTTACTTATGGGTCAAGTGATACAGCTCTGCCTGTGTAAACCATCCAGCCTCCAACCTACTTTCTCTATCATATTGTCTGCCATCTGGTTTATACATAACATGTGCTTGGTGAATTTCCAAGTCCACTGAAATGATTCATTTTGAGCCCATCAGGATACATACTGTTTGGAAGCTCTGGCTGTCTGAGCAAACCAAGGTTTGACCACCACTTCTCTGTCTCTATTTTCTGGGAATTAGATCTGATGAGAGGTGAGGAGTGAAAAGTAGTGGCAGTGCATTTAAGTGTAATTGGTTCAATTTGTGTTTTTATTGTCATTATTATGGGAGCTCTGGTAGCATAGTGGCTAAGGCACTTGACTGCTAACCAGAAGGCTGGCGGTTCAAACCCACCAGCCACTCCTCGGAAGGAAGGTTGGGCAATCTACTTCCGTAGTGATACTGCCTGGGAAACCCAAGGAGGGGTCGCTATGAGTCAGGTCTGACTCCACGGCGCATAACAACAACAACATTATGACAATGAAAAGAGAGTTTTCAGAAAACTGAAAACTGAGTTTTCAGAAAACTGAGTTTTTCCTAGAAAAACTGCCTGACTGAAGAACTAGTCCCTTTTCTAGTAGACTCCACAGCCCTGCATAAGCACAGTGGTTGTAGGATGACAGTTTCATGAGGGCCACTCAGAAGGCCTGATGAGAAGGCAGCCCCTCTAAAATGGAGTACAGTATGTGCAAAGGAACATTTCCCCACATCATTCCTTGGGAATCACAGGGCTTTACTCCTCATGGTGCCCCTTGAGCCTAGTATATATGAATATCAAGCAGCCTGAGTGTCCTACATTTGTTGGGGGGCTTCAGCTTGAGAGCAGATTTACTGAGATCTATGCTGGGAATTGTAGAGAAGCCTTGTGGAATGAAGCAGTTCATGTGTTTGGTTTATGATGGTGGTATAGAGGGGCTTGCACTTGGAGACTTCAATTCTCCTGGATAGAAACAAGCCCATGTGAATAGGTGGCAAATGGGAAGTTTGTGAACATAATACCTCCCGGTGTTGGAAACATTTGTCAGGCTTTTCTCCGTCCCTGTTCCCACTGACATCATCAGGACCCTCATCCCCTAAAACATGTCTTACTGTTTTTTCGTGATGAAAAATACATTTATTTATGGGTGTGTACATTAATATTCTTAGTCTCAAAAGAAGAAATACATTTGGAAGGATGGTAAGAGTTGAAGTTGCTTGCTTTGGAAAGATTGCTACAAAAGGACATGTTTGATGGAAGTAGTGGGTCAGTGAAAATGAAGGAAACATTTGATTAAACGAATTGATGAAACAGCCTCAACAATGGGTTCAGATATCAAAGATCATGGAGATGGTGCAAGATTGGGCAATGTTTCATTCTGTTATACATAAGGTCACCATTTGGAGCTGACTTGAAGGCAAATGACAATGTCATGTTGGAACTGAACAAGTAAAAAGAGGAAGTCCTTATTTTTCCTCACCCTCAACTGTAAACCCTTTGAGTAAAGCATAATTATGAGTTTTAGGTTGTTGTTGTTGTTAGGGGCCACCGAGTCATCTCCAACTCATAATGACCCTATGCACAGTAGAACGAAACACCACTGGGCCCTGCGCCAGCTCCATGATCCCTGCTGTACTTGAGCTCATCACTGCAGCCACTGTGTCAGTCTATCTCGTTGAGGGTCTTCCCCTCTTTGGTCGACCCTCCACCCTACCAAGCATGACATCTTTCTCCAGGGAATGGTCCCTTCTGACAATATGACCAAAGTAGGAGAGACGAAGTCTGGCCATTCTTGCTTCCAAGGAGCATTCTGGCTGCACTTTCTCCAGAACAGATTTGTTAGTCCATGGCACTTTCAGGATTCTTCGCCAGCACCACAACTCAAAAGCATCAATTCTTCTGTCTTCCTAATTCATTGTCCAGCTCTCACATGCATAGGAGGCGATTGAAAATATCATGGCTTGTGTCAGGCGCATCCTAGCCCTCAAGGAAACATCTTTGCTCTTGAAAGAGGTCTTTTGCAGCTGACTTGCCCAGGGCTATAGATCATCTGATGTCCTGACTGCTGCTTCCATTGGCGTTGATTGTAGAACTAAGCAATGTGAAGTCTTTGACAACATCAATCTTTTCTCCATTTATCACGATGCTGCGTATAGGTCCAGTTGTGCGGATTTTTTTTTTTTTTTAAATCTATTGAGATGTAATCCATACTGCAGACTGTAGTCTTCAATCTTCATCAGTAAGTGCTTCAAGTCATCCTCACTTTCAGCAAGCAAAGTTGTACCGTAGCATATCGCAGGGTGTTAATGATTCTTCCTCCAATCTTGATGCGACATTTTTCTTCATATAGTCCAGCTTCTCAGATTGTTTGCTCAGCATACAGATTGAATAAGTATGGTGAAAGGATACAACCCTGACACACTCCCTTGCTGATTTTAAACCATGCAGTGTCCCCTTGTTCCGTTTGAACGACAGCCTCCTGGTCTATGTACAGATTCCTCATGAGTACAATTAAGTGTTCTGGAATTCCCATTCTTCTTAATGTTAGCCACAATTTGTTATGATCTACACAATCAAATGTTTTGCATAGTAAATAAAACACAAGTAAACATCTTTCTGGTATTCTTTGCTTTGAGCCAAGATCCCTCTGACATCTGCAATGATATCCCTTGTTCCACATCCTTTTCTGAATTCAGCTTGCATTTCTGGAAGTTCTCTGTCAATATACTGCTGCAACCGTTTTTGAGTTATCTTCAGTAAGATTTTACTTGTGTGTGGTATTAATAATAGTGTTTGATAATTTCCACTTTCTGTGGGATCACCTTGCTTTGGAATGGGCTTCTTCCAATCAGTTGGCCAGGTAGCTGTCTTCCAAATCTCTTGGCATAACTGAGTGAGTGCCTCCAGTGGGGCATCCATTTGTTGAAACATCTTAATGGGTATTCCATCAATTCCTGGTGCCTTGTTCTTCACGAATTCCTTCATTGCAGCTTCAACTTCTTCCTTCAGTACCATTGGTTCTTGATCATATGCCACCTCCTGAAATGGATGAATATCGACCAGTTCTTTTTGGTATAGGGACTGTGTATTCCTCCCATCTTCTTTTGATGTTTCCTGCATCATTCAATATTTTGCCCATAGAATCTTTTAATATTGCAACTTGAGGCTTCAGTTTTTTCCTCAGTTCTTTCAGCTTGAGAAATGCCATGTGTGTTCTTCCCTTTTGGTTTTCTAACTGCAGGTCTTTGCACATTTCATTACAGTAATTGGCTTTGTCTGCTTGAGCTGCTCTTTGAAATCTTCTGTACCGCTCTTTTATCTTGTCATTTCTTCCACTTGCTTTAGCTGTTCTCTGCTCAACGGTAATTTTCAGAGTCTCTTCTGACATCCATTTTGTTTTTTTCTTCCTTTCTTGTCTTTTTAATGACCTCTTTCTTTCTTCATGGATGATGTTCTTGATGTCATCCCACAATTCTTCTGGTTTTCGGTCACTGGTGTTCAATATGTCAAATCTATTCTTTAGATGGTCTCTAAATTCAGGAGGGATACTTTCAAGGTCATATTGTGGTTCTCATGGACTTGTTTTAATTGTCTTCAACTTCAAGTTGAATTTGCATATGAGCAGTTGGATTGGTTTTACAATCAGCTCCTGGCCTTGTTTTAGCTAAAGATATTGAGCTTTTCCATTGCCTCTTGCCACAGATGTAGTCAATCTGATTCCTGTGTATTCCATCTGGTGATGTCCACGTGTACAGCTGCCATTTGTGTTGTTGAAAAAGGTATTTGCAATGAATAAGTCATTGGTCTTACAACATTCTATCATGGTCTCCAGCATTATTTCTTTCATCAAGGCCAAATTTTCCAACTAGCAGTAATTCTTCTTTGTTTCCAACTTTTGCATTCCAGTCACCAATGATAATCAACACATCTTGATTGCATGTTCGGTCAATACAGACTGCAGAAGTTGATAAAAATCTTCAGTTTCCTCATCTTTGGCTTTGGTGGTTGGTGTGTACGTTTGAATAATCGTAGTATCAACTGGTCTTCCCTGTAGCCATATGGATATTATCCTATCACTGACAGCATTGTACTTCAGGACAGATCTTGAAACATCCTTTGTGATGATGAATGCCATGTCATTCCTCTTCAAGCTGTAATTGCCGGCATAGTATATCATATGGTTGTCTGATTCAAAACGGCCAAAACCAATCCATTGCAACTCACCAATGTCTAGGATATCAATCTTTATGTATTTCATTGCATTTTTGACAACTTCCAATTTTCCTAAATTCATACTTTGTACACATTCCATGTTCTGATTATTAATGGATGTTTCCACCTGTTTCTCCTTAAATTGAGTCATGCCAGGTCAGCATATGGAGGTCCTGAAAGCTTTACTTTATCCATATCATTAAGGCTGGTTCTACTCTGATGATGCAGCTCTTTCCCACTCATACTTTGAGTGCCTTCTAACCTAAGGGGTTGGTCTTTCTGCCCTGTATATGACAATGTTTCAGGGCTATTCATAATGTTGCCCAGTAATATCAGACAGTGTTTCTCTGCTATTCATAAGGTTTTCCCTGGCCAATTTTTTGAGAATTGGATGGCCTCTTCCTTCTTCCTACTCTGTCTCAGTCTGTAAGCTGTGCTGAAAACCTGTGCACCATGTGTAATCCTGCTGGCTTTTGTGACACCAGTGGCGCAGCCTCAAGCCTCACAGCAACATGCAAGCCACCACAGTATGACAAACTGACAGACAAGTTTGTCTTCCTTAGCTGTTTGAAATCTCTCTGCCCTCCCCTTACCTAGATCCCCGTGGTTCTGTCTTGGCCCAGCTCCTCCCCCACCTCCTGCTTCTGGATGCCTGGCCTGTCTGCCCCCTTATAATTATACACTGAAAATTCATTTGAGGTACTTAATGTAATTTCATTCTTTTTCAATAAATCAAATGATCATGCTACCCAGGGGTCTAAGCATGAGCAAAGTATTAGATTTTGGGAGAAGGACTTCTCAGGGAAGCAGAGAACCCAGTGAGACACATGTGCCGTGTTCCCAGTCCCCCAGGCTCAGACCTCAGCCTCTCCTTCTCCCTCCATGGGATTCGCTCCTTGTCTCCAGATGTCATGGAAAATGAAGTTTCCAAGATTCTCCAGTGCTCTCTGTAGAGATGCTCACCAGACACTGGAGTTTCCAGGAATTAAAAAGTGTGACAAAGTTTCTCAGAACTTTTCTTGGCTCCCCTGTGGTGGACCATAATGGTTGCCACGGTGAGGTGATAATTGCAGTTCTGTGGGGAGGTGAGGTCATAGAATCTCAAGCTCATATCTGGGTCTGGCTGCCTCCCTCCCTACACCTATTGACCACTGTGACTGTCACACTGATTGCACATCCTGGTAGTGGGAAGGAAGGAGCTGGTGAGTATTTTCTACTTTACCCTGAAAGTTTGAGTCCTTAAGTGAAGGAGGTGGATCAGGTGTCTGGGTGAGTGATTAAGTACGAAAGGGTTTCTCATGCTGGTAAACCTGGGTTAGTGCCAAAGCCAGACAGGGAGGAGGTGAGAGACATGAGCTGAGCTAGAAGAGGGCGATGGGGATCCTAGATGCTACTTCAATTTCTGATGTCTCCTAAGGAAATTTAGCCTAATCTTAAATGACAGTAATTATTGAAGTTTTGGGCCACTGATCATGAGACTTGATTTTGAAGGTGCTTAATTGATGTCTAAGGAGTTCTGGTGGTACAGTACCTACAGAATTTGACTGCTAACCAGAAGGCTGGTGGTTCAAACCTACCAGCCACTCCATGTAAGGAAGACTGGCCAGTGTACTTCCCTAAAGATTTATTGCCTCAGAAATCCAAAGGGGGGTCGCTATGCATTAGAATTGACTTGATGGCAATGAGTTTTGTTTTTAAATTGATTCCTGGGTTCCACAAATGTTTCGTTCTCAGCTACTAACCTCAAAATAAATAAATAAATAAAAAATAAACAATAAAAAACACAAAAACAAACCTTCTATTTTATTCAGAAGATGCACACGATTTCATGCCTTACAGATTCCGGTTGGGACATGTGTGTTACATTTGAAAATCTTTCACAAATCCTGCCTCACTGGAGAAGTTTTCCATGACTCAGGCATTAATGCACAGATAAGAGTACAATTTGAAATTGGCAATAACTCTGTTGCTCCCATACACTACTGCATCCCACGTGGATCCTGTCCCATAGTTCAGAGCACGGACTGAGAATGTTCACCAATTCCCGGGATGGGGCTTTGTACTGTTGTTCTTGGCACAAAAGAAAGCAAGTCTTTGCAGTGTCATGTGATATTGAACCCTTCTTTCCCTCACCAGCTTGTCTCGGGGCAGGTGTCTGTACAGTATCATCCTCCAGGCCCTGCATCTACACTGAATAGGATGTCTGAAGCTCTCTGCTGTTCCTGAGGCTGATCCTGCACTTGTGGGGGTGGGGGTCTTTGTGGATGGGGCTGTCTTCTGGGATTCAGTACTGTGACCACTCAGGGCTCAGGAAAGGGGAACTTGGACATAGCACTGAATACAGTACAGCTCCCAGGAGGCTTGGAGCCCTGTATGGAATCACGCCCAAGATTCCAGGTGGCCAGAGTGAGGAAGACAGCCAGTGCCCTCTCTATGGAAGCCTCTCAGGCTACAGGAGGAATTGATTTTCTGACCTTAACCCCATAAAGATTGGGAAATTAATGCACTAAAGAAGCCTGTCTGTTTTCAGCCCAGCCAGGTTCAAGTCCCCTCTCTGCCTCTAACCAGCATGTGAATTTAGACTCATCTCTTAACTTCTGTCTGCCTAATGCATCCTTCACTTTATCATGTAAGTAATAGTATTTTCTGCCTTGTAGGTTTGTGAAGAATAAAGAAGGCACATGTGGACAGTCTTGATAGCAATGATTCCTACATTGTAAGTGTCTTTAAAAGGTTTTTTAGTCAATGATTGGAAATATCATAACAAAAGAAGAAGAAACAAACTTTCAGTCAATGTTTCTCAGTGGGAATTAATGGTAGGTGGGGCACAGTGGATTTCAGTTGACGTGATACATGTGGCCCGTGTCTCATCTTCCCAAGCAGGACCCTTTGGCTGAAGACAAATATCAGTCACTGGGAACTGAGAGAATGTCCTCCAGGGAATTCACATTAGGAATGGTCTTCTTATCACAGACTACAGTTGGGATCCTGGGGAATTTCTCTCTTCTTCACCATTATGTCTTCCTGCACTTCACTGGGGGCAGGTTAAGGTCCACAGACTTGATTCTCATGCATCTGACTGTGGCCAACTCCTTGGTCATTCTCTCTGCAGGAGTCCCCCAGATTCTGACAGCTTTTGGGTGGAAAGATATTTTCAATGGTTTAGTATGCAAATTGCTTTACTTTGTTGGAAGAGTGTCCAGGGGTGTGTCTATGGGCAGCACCTGCCTCCTGAGTATGTTCCAGGCCATCACCATCAACCCCAGTAACTCCAGGTGGGCGGAGCTGAAGCGGAAAGCTCCCAAGCACATTGGCCCCTCCAGTGTCCTCTGTTGGGTCCTCAACTTGGTCATAAATATCGCAGTTCCTGTCCTTGTGACTGGCCATTGGCACAATAAAACCACCACAAAGAGAAAAGATTTTGGGTACTGTTTTACAATTCGTGACATAACCATAAACTTACTGAATGTAGCACTGTTTTCTTTCCCTGATCTTGTGTGTTTGGGGCTCATGATATGGGCCAGCAGCTGCATGGTTTTCATCCTGTACAGACACAAGCAGCGGGTCCAACACATTCGTAGCAACACCGTCTCCCGGAGAGGCTCCCCTGAGTCCAGAGCCACCCAAACCATCCTTGTCCTGGTGAGCACCTTTGTGTTTCTTTATGCTGTCTCCTCCATCCTGTCCATTTGTGTGATTCTTTCACATTCTGTAACTTGGTGGCTGGTGAAGACCGCCGCACTAGCTTCTGCATGTTTCCCAACTCTCAGCCCCTTTGTTCTCCTGAGCCGTGACTCCAGGGTCTCTGGGCTCTGCCGTGTCTGCTGGAGGGAAGACACACTTCTCTCATCTCATCAGAAATGTGTAACATAAATTGTCTATTTGTGATTAAATTCAGTTAAAGATGTACTCCAATTATGAGCCAGTACACTGCACATTCGACGGCACATAACAACGACAACAACAGTGATCTTCTAGTCTGGTTGTTTCCTTTTTGAGCTCTGGTAGCATAGTGCCTAAGACATTTGACTGCTAACCAGAAGGCTGGTGGTTCAAACCCACCAGCCACTCCTTGAAAGGAAGGTTGGGCAATCTACTTCCGTAGTGATACTGCCTTGGAAACCTAAGGAGGGGTTGCTATGAGTCAGGTCCAACTTGATGGCACATAACAACAACAATACTGCACATTGGGGAACAAGACAGACTTTTCCAATAGTATGTAGCAGCTAATAATAGCAATAGTCAATGTTTTCTCATGGAATTACTATGTAAACACTTACATAATTGCATCGTAATGTGTGTAGTGGAGAAGTTCAGAGTCCAAACGGTGCAGTGGTAACTGGTAACTGAAAGTTCGGAGGGTCAGACATCCCTATTGTTCAGAGTCACCTGGGAAGACAGCCCTGGCCATCTGCTTCTGGAAGGTCATACCTGGCAACTCTTTGGAGCACAGTTCTATTCTGACCCACATGGGTCGCCATGAGTTGGGATTGACTCCATGGCAGCCAATAACAATGACATTTACTCTACATCTTTGATATTCCACATGGGCCCTTCATTTCCGTGTCCTCTTTCTTCTTAATGACTGTTGACATGTAAGTGAAAATATATCTATATTTGTATGTGAAAGTCGCTTTTGCCCCACTGCTTACTGTTCTTTTCAGTTCTAATTTGTAAAGACAAAATCCTCCAGTCCATCCTAGGCTTGCTGTCATCTCAACAGGATTAATCACAATTTTGTCTCATTGATTTTATTTTTTTTAAATTTTTTCTTCTTACTACTTTGCCCTAGATCACCAATGCTATGGTGAACAGTTTCAGTCCTACCAGGTCTCCTTGCTTCATCCCTGCCTGAAGAAGAAACACCTTACAATTACATTAGGGCAGGCTGTTTGCTGAGTGTTTTGTGTACATAAAATATTTTTCCCCATTTGAGATGGTTTGTGTTCATTAATTTTTCTACCACATACCTTGCTTTGATCACATTATTTTCCTCTGACAATCTGTTAATTTGGTAACTTTTAATAGTTCACCTAATATTAAAGCACCCTCATATTACTGGAATCAATTTCCATGTGTATTATATTTTTAAAATTTTGATTGTGATTTGGGTGAAAGTTTACAGAGCAAATTCATTTTCCATACATCAGTTCATACACATTTTGTCTCATGACATTGACTGCAAATTCCCCACAATGTAACAGCTCTCTTCCAACTTTCTCCCCATAGTTAGCTCTTCTCTGTGTCCTTCCTTCCCATGCACTCCTAGTCCCTGAGCATACACTGCCCTTCTGTTCTTCCATGATTGATCTCTCCAAGTGGTGTATCTACCTGATGTAAATGTTCAGTGCACATGCCTGTCTATTATTTGGCTAGAAGTCACAGGAGTGAGTTCAGTTCCAGACCTGAAGGGCAGCTAGGGGCCATAGTCTCAGGGGTCTCACCAGGCTTTATCACACCACCAGCAAGCCTGGTGGGTTTTTTTTTTTTTTAATGATTTTGAGTTCTGTTCCACATTGTTGTCTCACTCCATCTAGGATCTCCTACATGGCTCCCCCTCTGAGTGACTGACAGTGGTAGCCTGACACCACCTAGTTCTTCCAGTCTCATGGTCATATAGGCTGAGGATTGCATGGTCTACCAGTCCCTTGGACTAATTGTTTCCATGTGTCTTTGGTTTTCTTCATTCTCCTTTGTTCTGGACATGGAGAGAACCATTGTTGCATCTGGATGGCCATTTGCAAGCTTTTAAGATCCTAGTCCCTACTCACCAAAGTAGGATGTGGAACAATGTTTTCATGTAGTAATGTTATGCCAATTAAACTTGATGTGCCCTGCAATCATGGTCCCGAGCCCATAGGTCCAACTACTCACCCTCTCCAAGTAGCTGGCTATGGCCAAAAAGTCACCACAATCTTGTTCCTTGTCAGCTCTACTATATACGTGACATTCTTACAGCACATACAAATATGCCAGTAGAACATCATCTGCCAACTCTGTACACGGTCATGGGCACACTGCCCCCTGCCTCATTGTTCAGCCTGTCTACCCACCTGTCTACCTGTAGACCAGTGTTTGCCCTCATAACAATGCAGTACTGTATATGCAAAAGAGTTCATCTGTGTTGTTTGTACCTCCTGTGCACCTGTCTGTCTTCCTCTTCCTCAATGCCACCGTGTTGATCACTCACATTTGGTACATTGCCCTTCCCTTCACCCAAATCAGTACTTGTCTCTACCTATCTAGCAGTGTTTCCTCCCCTCTCCTCCCAACCCTGGTAACTAACAAAGGAAGTTTCCTTCTGTATATAAATCTTTCCTAGCCTTTTTACAGTAATTAACTAATACAATATTTGTCTTTCTGTGATTGACTTATTTCACTCAGCATACTGTCTTCCAAGTTCATCCATGTTATGCAGTGTTTTATAGATTCTACATTATTCTATAGTGTTATATAATATTCCACTGTGTATATGTACCATAGTTTGGCTATCCATTCTTCTGTTGATGGGCACCTAGGTTGTTTCCATCTTTTTGTTACCCGATTCTTGCTTCTTTAGGATATATACCTAGTAATGGGAGTGCTGGATCAAATGCTTTTTTTTTTTTTTTTAAATTTCTATTGTGATTTGGTTCAAAGTTTACAGAACAAATTCAACTTTCTACACAGCAGTTCACATATATACTTAGTCTCATAAGATTGACTGCAATTTACCGCAATGCTACAGGTCTCCTCCCACTTCCTTCCTATAGTTATCTCTTCCCTGTGTCTTTCCCTCCCATGCACTCCTGCCCCCTGAGCTGTCTCTCTGTGCACACACAGTCCTTCTATTCTCCCGTGCTTGATCTCTCCAAGGAGTGTATCTGATGTAAATGTTCACCCCAAATGTCTGTCTATTGTTTGTCTGGGAGCCATAGGAGTGAGTTCAGTTCCAGATCTGAAGGGTAATTAGAGGCCATAGTCTCAGGGGTTTCACCAGGTTCTATCCAACCAGCAAACCTGGTCCCCACCTCCTTTTTTTTTTTTTTTTTCCCCTCTAATGATTCTGAGTTTTATTCCACATCGTTCTCCCAGTCTATCCAGGATCTCCTACATAGATCCCCCTCTGAGTGGTTGACAGTGAGCTGGTCACCATCTATTTCTTCTAGTCTCATAGTCATGTAGGCTGAGAATCGCATGGTGTACCAGTCCCTGGGACTAATTGCTTCCATGCATCTTTGGTTTTCTTCATTCTTCTTTGTTCTGGACGAGGAGAGACCCATCATTACATCTAGATGGCTGCTTGCAGGCTTTTAAGATACCAGTCACTACTTGCCAAAGTAGGATGAGGAACAATGTTTTTGTGTAATATGTTATGCCAATTGAGCTTGATATCCCCTATGTCTATAGACTGATCCCACAGGTCCAACTACTTGCTCCCTCTAGATAGCTGGCTGTGGCCAAGAAGTGACTACAACCTTGTCCTTTGTCAGCTCTACTACATACCTGGACATTCTTACAGAACATACAAATACACTTGTAGAAACATTGTCTGTCATGGGCACACTCCCCACTGCATGGACATACCTAATAGCAGCCTGTCCACCCATTTAACCACCTGTATACCCATGTTTGCCTTCACTGACAACGCAGTACTGTATGTGCAGAAGAGTTCATCTTTGTTGTCTGTACCTCCCTGTGTCTTCCTGTTCCTCAATTTCACCGTGTTCATTACTCACATTTGATACATTATGCTTCCTGTCACCCAAATCAGTACTTGTCTCTACTTATCTAACAATGTTTTCTCCTCTCCCCTCCCACCTCTGGTAACCAATGAAGAAAATTTCCTTCCATATATAAATCTTTCCTTGACTTTTTACAATAACAGACTGATACAGTATTTGTCCTTTTGTGATTGATTGATTTCACTCAGCATAATGTCCTCCAAGTTCATCCACGTTATGCAGTGTTTTGCAGATTCTACGTTACTCTTTAGGGTTGCATATTATTCCATTTTCTGTATGTACCATAGTTTGATTATCCATTCTTCTGTTGATTGGCACCTTGGTTGTTTCCATCTTTTTGCTATTGTAAATAGTGCTGCAATGAACATGGGTGTGCATATGTCTGTTCTTATCACGGCTCTCACTTCTTTAGGATATATACCTAGTAATGGAATGGCTGGGTCAAATGGTAATTCTAATTCCAACTTTTTAAGGAATCACCATACTGCTTCTCACAGTGGTTGTATAATTTTACACTCCCACCAGCAGTGTGTGAGAATCCCAATCTCTCCACATCCTCCAGCATTTGTTATTTTCTGTCTTGCTGAACTTTGCTACTAGTGCTGGAGCAAGATGGTATCTTGTTGTTGTTTTGATTTGCATCTTTCTAATGGCTAATGATTGTTAGCATTTCTTCATATGTTTGTTGGCTCCCTGAATATCCTCCTTGGTGAAGTGTCTATTCATGTCTTTTGCCCATTTTTAAATTGGATTATTTGTCTTTTTGTTGTTGAGGTGTTGGAGTTTTCTATAAATTCTAGAGACAAGCCCCTTGTTAGATAAGTCATTGCCAAATATTTTTTTCCCAATCTGTAGGTTCTCTTTTGACTCTTTTGGAGAAGTCTTTGGAAGCACATAAAAATTT